CGATAGTGAGATCGATTGGGTCAGATGTTGGTTCCCCCCCTTTCCCCCCCCACAACCTCCTTATCACCCGAAGGGTTGTCGTAAAGGTATTTCTATGTGCATGTATATGTATATGTACACATCTATGGAAATGTCTTTTTCGTTCCCGTCAAAATGTGGAATGTTCCTAAGTTGCCTGGCCGGTGTCGGGGGGCACTGTTGCTGTCAGAACTGGTTCCGTCCGAGGGACACGCGCGTCGAAACATTCTCAAGGCTGTGAGGCGGCCAGGCCCGCTTCGCCTGCGACATCCTCGCGACTCCGAGTTTCTGAGTTCCCAGACGCCGCGCGAAAAGTGGTCCAACCCATTTTACCTGAAATATCCTTGCAGTTCCAGATTTCACCAGAGTCGTGGGACAGATGAGCCATGACCACTCGTTTTTCTTTCATCAGGCGTGATGGCTCGTGTCTTGTTGTGGGAAGGACTGATTCCGCCAAGAGGACCTGCGCATCAAGACACTCTGAAATTCTCAGGTGTCCCAGCTCGTTTCGTCTGAGACATCCTCGCTTCGCTCGCTTCCGAGCCCAACGAGGAGACAGAGGAGAGGAGGTGGGACGAGGCAGGGGCTGGGGCCTCTCTAGTAGGGTCTCCAGCCTCCGCCGGGAGCGGCGGCCGGGCCACGAGAGAGCGGGAGACAGCTCCCGTGTTCGGCTTTGAAGCGTGCACGGCGTACGGCCCACCAGCATACCACCACAGGCGGGAAGGGGGCCGGCGGGCGGTCGTCGGGGCCGCCGTCGGCAAGCGGGTGGCAGGCGTCGGGGCGGGGGGCGGTTGGCGGCCCAGGCCGCGCCCAGCTGAGCCGGGTGAGGAGGCTGGCTGGGGGAAGGAGGCGCGGCCGCCGCTTCGGGGGTAGAGCGCCGTTAGGACCTACGGCCGCTCGCTGCCGAGCCGTGGGCCCATCTAGGGGCCAGAGCAGAGCTGGAGCCCTGAGGCAGGGCCTCCAAGATGTGGATCCCGAGCTTGCACGACATCACCTGCGGCCGGGACCCCTCCTGAGTGGTAGGGCCGGCGCTCGTAGTGCTCCAGCCTGTTTTGGCCGTCTTTGGGCTGAGCCGCCCACCAGTCCTCGACGACACCGTAGGCCCGACCGAGAGCGGCGCGATCGGGGGCGAAGCGGTGGCACTCGGCGCAGAAGTGCTGGGCGGAGGCGGCGAGGTGCCCGCAGAACGGGCAGGGGGCCTCAATGTGAGCCAGGCGCGTCGGGACCCGAGCAGTCCCTCCGTGTCAGGCCGACAGGAGGCTAATTTGATGCTTCGTCAAGCTTCGGCGCCACTGGCTCCACGGGGGGGCCTCAAAGGACGCCTGGATGGCGTTGTCCAGCAAACCCTCCTCGTCGTGGCGGGGCCCGTGGTCGCTGAGCGCGTTCCACGATGGGCAAAGTGCCCACTCGCAAACGTCTCAAAAACGCATTCGTGTCTCGGTGTCATAGACCGTAGATCCCCCGTGGCGGCTCCAGGCTATTTGTTCGGATGCAACTCCTGGGAGGGCAAGTTCTGATTTTGCCCTGGTCCGAATTCCAGCTGAATCCCGCTGAATCCCGCTTAATCCCGTTTTATCCTGGTTAATCCGGCTTAATCCGAGGCCCACTCTGGCGTAAGAGCCCCCCAGTGGGGCTTAATCCTCTTTTTAGGTCTTTCCGACGAAAACCTCCTTGTATTTGCCTCCGGATATTTGCGAGTAGTTACTTTGCGAGTAGCGGCACGCGCCTGCCTGGGTGGGCGCGACCCGGAAGAAGCTGGGCTCGGGGGCAGACCCGGAGCACGCGCCGCCCGCTCGGCGAGGGCGGGAAGCCCGAGGAAGCCGCGGCCTCGGCTGAAGTAGAGCATGCTCCTCTACAGGAGGAAGCTCAAAAGTAGTCAAACATTGTCTGGGTACGAAAATATTAGATAAACAATGTTGAGTCTTTGTTCGACTATTTTGCTGCATTTTTCTTCCAACATCCGCCTGTAGGAGGACATGCCCGACCCAAGCCTCGGCCGCGGCGGTCGTCGCCCGAGGGCTGCGAGGTTGGGCCCAGCGCGGGCCCAGGCGGGCAGCCACCCGGGCGAAGGGTCGCCGCGCGGTGGGACACCCAGGGCCGCCAGAGGGGCGGCCGTGGGAAGCGGCTGGCCTGGCGGAGGGCCTGGATCGGCCACGCGCAGAGGGGGGGTAGGGGGAGAGGGGAAGGCCTTTGAGAAGCACGGCTGCTTCTTAGAAGGCGCGGGCCTTGTCCGGGTAGGGGTAGGGGGGAAGGCCTTTTAGAAGCACGCCTGCTTCTTATGAGGCGCGGGCCTTGTCCGGGTAGATGCCAGGCTGGCGCCTTCGAAGAAGCGGCCTGCTAAGAAGCCTTCCCCCCTCCCCCTACCACCTGGTGCGCGCCGCCAAAGAGGGACGGCCGTGGGAAGCGGCTGGCCTGGCGGATGGCCTGGAATGAGGCACCGAAGGCGGGCTGGAGCTCGAGGCGCTCGGCCCACCAGCGCCGCTGGTCTCGCCAAGTGCAGCGGGTGCGGGCGGCACACCAGAAGGTGAGCTTGGCCAAGGAGGCGGGGAGGCACTCCACGAAGGGGACAGCCAACCGGCATTTCGAAGTCACGCGCACGACCGCCGTGGTGGCGCGCACGCCCGTGCTGCCGGGGGTGTGCAGCAGCTTGCGCGTGCAGCCCTCGATGACGCCCCAGCCGTCGCGAGGGCCCGGGACCTGCGGGAAAAGGTGAGCGACGCAAAAAAGGCGGGGTCGTCTGCGCCGACATTGGCGCGTCAGCTGCCCTTGTACGGTTGCGCGTAAGGCCGCGCGTAAGCGCCCTCATGGTGATGGAGATTTTGCGCATGATGCTGCTGCGGGCGCTGGTGATGAGATGGTGTTGATGATATCGATGGTGATGAAGATGATCGTGGGGATGCGGTTGCTGCGTAATTTACGAAGGGTCGTGGCTTGGAGGACTCAAACATGGGGTAATTTACGAACGATCGTGGCCTCGGAGACGCGAGTATTGTGTAATGTGCGAGGGATCGTGGCCTCGAGTCAGCGCATATTGCGTCTTTCGAAAAGTCGTGGCCTCGGGCAAACACATATTGCGAGTTTTCGAATGACTATTGCCTCGGGGACGCGAGCATGGCGTAATTTACTGCAAGGGTTTGTGGCTCCGGGGGCGTAATTTACGAGGGACCGTGGCCTCGAGGACGCGAATATAGCGTATTGTTTTCGGGGACGCAGATATTGCATGATTGGCACGGGGTTTTGGCCTCGGGGGCGCAATTTTCGTGCAACTTGACTAGGATTGTGGTTTCGGGGGCGCGAGCAAAGGGTCATCTACTAGGGATTTGGGCTTCGGGGACGCGACTGTCGTTCAATTTACGATGGGCTATGGCTCCGGGCAAGCGAAGATAACATAATTTGCAAGGGTTTATGGCTTCGGGGGCGCAACTATCAGGCATGTACGAGCGATTCAGGCCTCGGGGACGCAACTATTGCATAATTTATGAGCGAGTCTGGCTGAGGGGACGCAGCTAGTGCTTCATTTACGAGGGTTGTATGGCCCTCGGGGCTGGAAATCTGGTATAAGTCATGAAGGAGTGTGGCTTCGGGGACGCGACTACGGCGTAGTTTACGAGGGTTTATGGCCTCGGGGATGCGCATACCGTGTAATGTACGAGGGGTTATGGCCTCGGGGACCCGAATCTTCTATAACTTCAACGGGATATGACATCGGGGACGCGAACATCGAGTTATTTACAAGGTTTTATTGTTTCGGTGGCGCGAATCAAAATTTTTGTGTGTCCCACGGCCCCGCAGGACTTCTGGTGATATGATTGTTGGAAGCTAGTCGTGCGGTTTTCGGCCTCCTCCGCGCGCGGACTTGAATAGTTTGCAAGAGGAAGTAGGACGTGGGACGATATGATTGGAAAGCTGGAACTGGTGCAGGGAGCAGCAAGCCTAATCCGCGCAGCCTGATGGCCCCGCGAGGGGGCCCTTCGGTCTATTCCGCGACCGCGCCTTGGTTGTATGTCAGAGGCCTCTTGGATGCTTGTGGTGATCTCTCGGGAGGCATTTCGGAAGCCTAGCGGCGATAATGACGACGAGGGTTCGCGACGAAGTCTCACACCAAACACGCAGTCCGCCCTACTCGGCGTAATACAGCATTCCGCGCAGCAAAGTCCAGAGTAGCATCGAGCCGAGTACCACATCATGCCAATTCGAGCGTATAGCGCATGGCAGTCATGCCATAATAACGGACTACTTACATTCCTTACCTGGTTCGCGGTTCTCAAGTTTGGCCTTCCATTGTTTCCTTGGATCGTGCGTCTCTTGGGGCTTCTTGTTGCGTCTTGGGGGCATTCAGCCTTTGGGCAGTCGTTGTGCCGTCTTCGGCTGGTCTTGGAACATTTTGCAGCCGTCTGGGAGTAAAGGCCGAAAAGAGAGTCAGAGTGCGGCACCAGAGGGGGTGTGCGACCTGAAACAGTTTGCATGTAAGGGGGACGCCCACAGAAAACTACCAGAGCCCCTGTCGGCGCTCTGATGGCGTTCGAACGAGCGCAGGGAGGAGAGGAGTGGAGTGGAGTGGAGTGCAGAGGCGATAGGATGAGCGGAGCGGAGTGCAGAGGAGCGGGTTGGAGTGGAGCCGAGCTCAGAGGAGTGTAGTGGACGTGAGCGGAGTGCAGCGGAGGGGGGAGTGGAGTGGGCACGGAGGAGGGCAGCTCCCCTGCGAAGGCGGCGTGGCGGACTGCAGCTCGGCTTGGATCGACAGACTGGCGGCAGGCCCAGGCACCAAGCGTGCTGTGACTCTATCACAGCGCGGCTCCCTGGAGATCTGGATCCCTTCGTGGGCAGCCGCTTTTCATCTCGAGTCGGCTTCTGACGGTCCCAGGTCCCAGTGAGGGACCCCAGTCGCCGAACACAGCCATAAAAGCACTCGGCCACGATGTCTTCGCGGCGCGAGGATGTGAGGCGAGGCGGGTGGCAGCAGAGGGCAGCAGAGGGTGGAGGTGTTTCCCAGCGGCCTCGTGTCGAAGATCCTGCTGAGACCGCAGTGCGCCCTCTCCAAGTTCACACCGCCCGAAAAGCTCGCCAAGTGCCCCAAGGCGAAGCCGTACGACAAGGCACCCTCGTATCCGGTCGAGGTGGCAAAAGTCGGCCACGGCCGGTTTTTCTACGTGGTCGAAACCTGGAGGCAATTCTCCTGTCCCAGGACTGTCAAGAAACGGCCCAGAGGTTCAGCTTGGCGAAGTGGTCGAAGCCCAGGGTGCAGACGACACGAACAGAAATGCAACGTTGGATGAGGGGGCGATAAGCCGCGTGCGATACAGACGGGTTCACCTGGCACCGTCGAGATTCGCACCCGGACTGGTTTCAAGACACGCACCGTTCATCTCGACTTATTTCTTCCTCCTTTTTTTCCCTCTCTGCCTCCGGGATTGAATCTCCAGATATGTTGGGCCAGTCATCTCAGCTTGATACATATGCCGCAGCTCCACTCCCAGGCCCGCATTTCCTCACTCCGATTTTATGTATGCCCCGCGAGCTACGTCAAGCGTCAAAGGACGAGGCAAGGGTCGGAGCAAGTATTGGGCGTGGGTCGGCGGGTGGTGGGTTCGCGGACTGCGTACCTTTGAATCCTGCCCCTTGACCTGGCTGCGCGCTATTGGAGGGGGTGCAGGTACCTTCATATCCAGGCTTTGCATTTTTCCAAACCATCCTGTGGTGTTGGGTCCTCGTTTTGAAGAGACCGTCCCCTCATCTCCTCTCTCTCCTCCTCCTCCCGCTCCTCCTTCCTCCCGTTGCCCCCCTCACTTTGGCACACCCCTCAGACGTTTCGTGGCCCCATTGGGAGCTCCACCGAAGGCCCCAGTGGCATGGTTCGCATGCAGCCCCCCCTGCACTTGGGCACACCCCTCACACGTTTCGTGGCCCCACAGGGAGCTCCACCGAAGGCTCCAGTGACATGGTTCGCATGCCGCCCCCCCTGCACTTCGGCACACCCCATACACGTTTCGTGGTCCCACAGGGAGCTCCACCGAAGGTCCCAGTGGCATGGTTCGCATGCCGCCCCCCTGCACTTCGGCACACCTCTCACACGTTTCGTGGCCCCATAGGGAACTCCACCGAAGACCCCAGTGGCATGGTTCGCATGCCGCCTCCCCTCTGTTTTGGCACACCTCTCACACGTTTCGTGACCCCATAGGGAGCTCCACCGAAGGCTCCGGTGGCATGGCTCGCATGGCGCCTCCCTTTATTTTGGCACACCCCTCACACGTTTCGCGGCTCCAGTAGCATGGCTCGCATGCCGCCTCCCCTTCATTGTGGCACACCCCTCACACGTTTCGTGGCCCCATAGGGAGCTCCACCGAAGGCCCCAGCGGCAGCGCCCGCAGCGGCGCACCCTTCGCGCGTTTCGTGCCCATAGGGAGCTCCACCGAAGGCAGTTAACACAACGTCGGTATTCACAGCTGCATGTGGTTGGGTCCTTCGCCAGGATCATATCACACTGGGCGTTTTCATCCAATTTCGGGCTCCTGGACCATCATGGATCGGTCCGGCTTAAAAGCCTTGTCGGGAAGATGGGGTCTGTGACTCTGGTCGTGATTTTTTGCGATGTTGTGTTTTGTTGACAGCGTCGGATCCCAGGGTAGGCCAGTGTCGCTTTGCATCGTGCGCTGGTTGTTCCGTAACGATGTCCGCGGGGTGCAGAAGCTGCCCGACTTTCAGGTCTTCCTTTCCGAAAACGTTAGACTTTCTCACCATGAGTTTTTCATTCATTATTTTCTTCCTCGTGCTCCTCCTTCTTCCTCTCCCTATCGTCGTCGTCCTTTTCGCGGAGTTCTGATGGAGGATGAAGAGTGGAGGAGGAGGAAAAGGAGGTGGAGGAGGAGGAGGAGGAGGCGGATTAGGATCGCGGGAGCAGGATGAGTTGTTTGCAAGGAGGAGGAGGAGGAGGAGCAGGAGGAGGAACAAGGGGGAGGAGGACGAGACGGCGGATGAGGAGGAGGAGAAGGGTAATGAGTGCGGGAGGAGGAGGAGGAGTGAGGAGGATGACGAGGATGATGAGGAGGGAGGGTGTGGAATGAGGGAGGCGAGGGCGGGGTAGGATGTAATGTTCCACTCTTCGCCTCTTTGGACCGTCGGGCTACCCGATCCCGGTTGCAGACACGTGGCTGACTTGGATGTATGGATGCCCTGGTTTCCCCTTCCCCTTTAACCTCTCTTGCTCCTGCCCTTGCCCATACCCCTACCCTCACCATTCCCATTTCGCTTGCCCTTGCCCTTGTCCTTGTCCTTGCCCCTGCCATCTGCCTTTGTCCTATTCTCCTTTCCCTGCCATTCTCCCTCTCCTGCGCCTTCTTTTCTGCTGTCGCTTTCGCCCCCTCTTCGCCTTCCCCGCCCCTCTCCTTCCTTTGCATTTCGTCCTCTTTGCCCTTCCTTTCCTTTCTGTTTTTGCCTTTCCCTTCCAGTTCTGCTTTCCTTCTCCTTTTTTGGAGGGGTTCTTGATGGGGATCTCCAGGGTCCTTTGCTCGCCAGCAGGGCGTCCGACGTAGACAAATGCAGCCGACCGCCAATCTGTGAGGATGAGGGCGATCCTTTAAGGTGCTCATCGACTACTCTGGCTGGAAGCAGGCGGACGGTAGGATGTTCGACTCCAGCCGCAATGAGAAGAAGTCCGTCCGGGTAAACTCAGTCATGCCAGGTCGCCGTGTTTAATAGTTCACCGTTCTGTGGAATCAATGCGTTTGCGGCACCATTGAATCAGCGAGCGATCACGGCAGAGGCTTGAACAGCTTCTACTTAGTCTACGGTTTTGTCGAGCCTTGACGTGCGGTGGGCGCAATGAAGTCGCACCACCCTCAACGCAAGAGGTCCCTTGTGAGCTGCTTGGTCCTAAAAAGATCAAGGGTTGAAGCATCAAGCCGCGTACTTGGTCCACTATCCGATCGCTGGTATCACCAGACGTGTGCTCGCTTCCCCGATTCTCCTTCTCCTCCCCCTTCTCCTCCTCTTCCTCCCTCTCCTTCTCTTCTCTTCTCTTCTCGCCACCTTCTCCCTTCTTCTGCCCCCCTCCCCTTCCTCCCTATCTCAGCATTCCCCTCTCCTTCCTGTAAGGCTACCCCGGATGTTTTCCCAGCCACAATATGGCCCACACAATGGTGGAGGGGAGCACGGGAAGGACTGGGGGCGCTCCGTTTCGAAGCATTTCGGATCTCTCGCCGCGATAAGTGGTGATATTTTCGGGTTGGCTATATGTGTAGTTTTTGGAGGCGTCATTCATCATCTTTACGTGCAGCATTTATCGTTTCTGGTGTTTGCGTAGCGTTCGCATCATGCACCGTTCCCGCACAGTGTTCGCACTGCGTTTCGCGCATTTCTGCATTTTCGTAGGTTTTTTGGTGCTGCTTCGTTTGTGTGTGCGTTTTTTTAGTTTTTGTTTGGCGTGTGTGTGTGTGTGTGTGTGTGTGTGTGTGTGTGTGTGTGTGTGTGTGTGTGTTTGTGTGCGTGCGTGCGTGCGTGCGTGCGCGTGAGAGCATGTGTTATGTGCGTGTGATGTTTGTGTGCGTGTATATATTGGCGTGTATATATATACACACATACACATATTTACCTACACACACCATGTGTACACATACACACATCTACATTTCATTATACACATACATACATACACTAATGCAATCACACATGCACATACATACATGCATACACGCACACAACCATACACATCAACACACATACATACACAGTTATATTTGTACAACCATGCGCATACGTACACATACATGTTCACATACAGGCACACATGCATGCCTACATGCGTGCATCCATACACATACATACATGCACCCACACATACTTACGTGCACATCTCCATACATACAATCATGCATGCACACACATACAAACAGGAGCGCCTACACACATATAGTCAGAGCTTGCTAGATGGTTTTCCGAATGTCAGTTGTCTCATCTAGCCTCGTCTCGACTTCAGGACAGCGTTGTTGTATGCTGTTATCGTTTGGCTCAAGATCGCCTGGCCCTGTGCTGCGGCGACCGTTGGTGACACCACGACGGGCGAAACCGAGCTCAGCCCGTGCTCGCGATCGGCGCTCCTTGTCGGGTCGGTCGCGCTGTTCTGGAGCCAGGCGACCTGGCTTGGCGCTGCCCGCTTCGGGCCCGAGGTCGCCGAGGCCGTGGGCCTGGCGGGGGCGCGCGGCGTCGTCGCGCTCGGCCGGAGCGCCCAGGCCGCCTCTGCCTGGGGGTGGCGGGCCCTGCAGGCGCTCGCCAGCCTCGCGAGCTCCGCGGCGGCTGCCGCTTGGGAGCACCGCGGGAGCTTGGCACGGGGCGCGCGCGTGGCCTGGAGAGCTGCTGGCCGTGGGGCGGCCGCTTGCTGGAGCTGCGGCGCGGGCCTCGTCGGGTGGCTGCGTGGTCGTCGCGAGGCTCGGCGTGCCGAGGGCGAGCGACGACGCGAGCTCGCAGCTGCTTCAACCGCTCTCGAGTACGCCTTGGTGGAGATGGCGCTGGCAGGCGGCGTGGCCGTGGGCGCGGCAACGCCGTGCTGGGTGCTGGTGTCGCGCGCTGGCGAGTGGGACGAGGTGCTGATCTTCGGGCAGGTGGTGGCGAAGGATTTCGGCCTGGGCCGCACCACCGACGACGCTGGCACGTCCTTCGTGTGGGTGCTGGTTCGGCTGCTGCCTGGGCACTTCCGAGCTGCGGTGGTGCCAGGCGGGGGAGCGCCCCGTGCGCCGCCGTTCGGGGTCCCGATCGGCTCGGTGAACTGGGTGTGCGAGCCGCCCCACGCCGCGAGGCAGTGGGACCCGAGCGTGGCCGAGCTGGCAACATTCCGCCTCGAGGCCCAGGGCGTGGACGTGGCCATCTTGACGATGGTGCTGCCCGCGGGCGTCGTCACGAATGCTGGGTCGCAGCAGCCAGCCCTGGCCGCCTTCATGCCTGTGGGTGGGCCGCTCCTGCCGCCAGGAGCTGGCGCCCTGGTCGCCGCGCCGCCTGCGGGGGCGGTCGCGGGGCCTGCGGCCCCCGCGGCGGTGGCTGCGCTACCAGGCGCGGGCGGGGTGGCACCCGCGGCTGCCGCGGGTCTGGGCTTCGCGGCGGTGGGCGCGCCAGACGCCGCGGCAGGTGCGGGAGCGGCGGCGGCGCCGCTAGACCTGGCCCAGATGCTGCAGGAGGTGCGCACGATCCAGAGCCAGCTCCAGAACGGCAGCCGGGTCAGGGACTCGAAGGACGAGAAGAAGAAAAAATGGCTCGAAGCACGATAAGAAGAAGGAACACAAGAAAACACATAGGTCCGACTCCAGCGACTCCTCCAGCACCAGCGCCACCAGCAGCACCTCCAGCGACAGCGAGTACCTGCAGTGGAAGGGGCCCAAGGCGAAGAGCCGCCGCGTGGACCCCGCCCAGGGGCGCAAGCTGGAGACCGAGAAGTTCAAGGCAAAAGGGGGACCTGTTGCACCCAGGGGCGGTGTCTGGCTACTTCCTCGCTCTGGTCCACCGCGAGATGAGCTGCGGGCGCTTGGCGGAGACCAAGCAGCTTCGCCAGGCGTCCGTCGCGACTTGGGCGCAGGCCCACGCCGGCCTGACCGAGCTGCGGGGCCAGCGCGAGGTGCAGACGCTGGCGTTGGTGATGGACCTGATCAACACTCAAGACCTGGCCACTGCGATGGACGTGCTGGCCCAGCGAATCATCGCCATCCAGCGGGCGAAGTCGAAGGGGGGCTCGCGGGTGAAGGCCGGGGCCGTGGAGCTCCTGACGGGCACGGGGGGAGGAGTCGCTGCCGGCGGGCTCCTCAAGCTCACCATGTGACGAGGTGGCGGAGGGCGCGGCAGATGTGGCTGCGCCGCGGAGGTCGGGGCGTTTCCGTCGCCTCCGTCGTGGTCGGTCTTGGCGACTGGTTGTGCTTCGTGGGCGGCCCGCTGGGGGCGCCTCTCCGTCAGGGGCACCTCGGTCGGCCTCGAGTGGTGGAGTTCGGCCGAGCTTTGCCGGGCATCTTCCCTGTCCCGCTGCTACGGCGTCGTGGCGCCGAGCTCGCAAAGGTCGGGCGCAGGCGCTGGGGCGCAGTTTTGGCTTGGGGTGACGTGTGTATCACCGGCATCAGCGACTTGTACGGAGCCGTCGGTGACTTCAACATTGTGCCGACGTAAGCCCAGCGACGTGTACAAAGGCGCATGCTGATGGGCGTCTTCCGCTTCCTCGAGGCCGAGTTGGCTTGACCTGAGGCTGCCGCAAGTCAAGAGTTCCTGCGCCACGGCGACGGCTACGAGCCGCTGAAGTGCGTCGCAGAGCCCCGTGGCGAGCGCAGGGGGGTCCCCGATCACGCCGCCGCCGTCGACCTGGCGGGCCTGCTGGACGAGCGTGTCCCTGGGCTTGCAGACCAGGTTCGTCGCCCGCGCTCTCTCCTCCTGAGTGTGGAACGGCGGCCTGCCAGGCTAAAGAGACGTCGCGCTCTGGTGGGGCCCGCCTTCCCGCGACTCGTCGCTCGGAGCGTGGCCGCGGGCCTCCAGGGGCACGGCTCCAAGGGGGGTGCGCAGGCATCGCGGCGTGCCTCTCGTTGCGGGGGCCTTCGGCGTGAGGAAGTCCGACGCGGAGCAGCGGGTGATCTCGGACTTGCCAGTGAACCGGTTGCTGGGCCCCGCCGCTCTTCCCCGCCCGACATTTGCGTGCCTTCCGAGGCTGCGCGCGGTCAAAACGCTCCCTTGGACGCGGGTCAAGCTCTGGGGGCGCGACCTGCGGCGCTACTTCCACCGGCTGGCCATCGGCAAGGGCTGGCGAATGTGCGTGGCCCACCCGCCTGTGCCTGATCCACGGGGAGGGGCTGCTCAGGTTCACCCCTCCCGCCACGCCGCGCCCACGGGCTTCGCGCCGTCGGCGGGCTGGGCGCAGGCGGCCTCCGACACCGCCTGTCTGAAGGCAGGGTTGCCCCGGGACCGTGGGGTGACCTTCGACGAGCCTTGCCCGAATGAGCTGCCGATCTGGGGGTCCATCGTGGACGACCCTGGGCGAGCGCTCGGCGGGGGGCCGAGCCCGCAGCTCAGCGACCTTCTGGATGTCCAAGGCCGAGCAGGCTTGGGACCGCATGGGCATTCCTGCGCATCATGGGAAATCCGTGGGCGGCGGGCAGGGCGAGTTCCAAGGGGCCGAGGTGTACCCCATCCAGCACTGATTGGGCGCGACTCGTCGGCGGCGGCTTGACCTCTTCGCCGCCGCCCTCGCCCTCCTAGGCCAGCAGGTGGTCTACCGCAAGGGCGTGGGGCGCTTGGTGGGCAAGCGCGGGTGCTGCCAGAGCTTCCGCCCTTGTCTTCGTTCGATTCTCTCATGCGTGTATACTTGGCTGGAGAGCTTGCCGCTGAGGGGCCGCAAGCCTGTGGCCTGGTGCCCGCTGGCGTGGCACGAGCTGCTGCTGTCGGCGATCCCCCTGCCTTTCGCGAAGCAGGACCTCGACGCCGAGTGGTGCGCCCGCGTCGAGTGCACCGACGCCGCCCCTGGTGGGCACGGCAGAGCCTGGGCTTCGCTACCTCAGGAGTCGGTGCGGCACATCGCGCAGCGGGCAGACCGCAGGGCGCCCTGCGCTATGCGCGGCGACGGCTTCGGGATCCCTCTTGGGGCTCTATTGGGCTGTCTTGGGCCTCCTGTGTCGTCTTGGGGCCATCTTGGGGCATCTTGGGCCGACTTGGTGAGCTTTTGGG